ATTGCCATAAAGGTGGTGATAGATGTCTAATAAGATCCAGCTGCGAAGAGCAGAGGAGGTCAAATCATCGAAGTATGTCACTGGGCCAATCATCTTAAAAAAGGCAAGCCACAGACAAGAGCCTGGGTTTGGACACCGAGCAAACAGGACCTGAAACTATGACTGGGGCTGCCTCCAAGGAGTCATAAGGACCACCTTCCCCATGGCATGACTCCAACTTGGTCAAGACCTGGAGCAACAGCTGGACAGTGGAAAGAATGTGCAGGAATTCTCACCTCAACTAGTCCAGCTGAAAGGCATCCACTGCAAGGGGCCTTGTGAATGGGGAATGGAGCCATGTAAAGAGGAAGGAACCAATTCCATACAGATGCTATGCAGTCCACATTGAAGGGGGAAGGGGGTCCGAACATCTCACAAAACCGAAGGAAGTTGGCAGCACAGACAATCCAATTCATGGAGACAGAAGGGAATCGGAACGCTGTCCTCGAGAGCACTGGACACTCCCCAAACATGAACCATTTTGAGAAAAAAAACTAGAACCCAGCAGTAGAGCTACTCGAAGCATCCAGCTTCAAAGGGGTAAAGGACCCGGATTCAGACAATGGACCACTTGGGTATAGCAGGAATGGAGCCAAAGCACAGAGTCTGGAGGAATCCAAAGCATCCTCAGAGCATGTCACATGACTGAAACTTCCGTACCGTACTGTGCTTCCAATGACGGGTAGAAGACCAGTGAACTGCAGAAGTGCTAACACAAACCACAGGAAGCAGGAGTCCTTGAAGAATGAGCACTGCGCCAACCAGCCAAGGATGGACCAACCATGAGAAGCATATACAATATAACCCAGAATCAGGCTCCAAAAATGGCCTACTCCATTGAGGACCAGAAACTGTATGACAGAAGCCAAAAGCATGCGGACATGAAGGTCCTCCACCACGAGAGCTGCCAACAACAAAAACATGTGGGCATGAGGCTGCACAAAATCCACATCTTGGGAAAGAGTTGGGGCAAACAGGCAGTCATTGAGCAGCTCAAAAGAAAGGCCACCCAAAAACACCTGAAACAGTCCCCATCTCAAGCCCCTTGAGTGTGAGGGCATGAGAAAAACCACGCCAAGCCCTAAGAAGAAAAGAGTATTGTCTGCTAGCCAGGAAGATTCTGGACCATAATAGCACATCCAATAAGGAGGAGAAGATCCAAACTCAAAAGCAATGTCCATCATTGAAGCAAGCTACAAGTCTCCCAGGAAGTATGTTAAGAGAACCTTCCAAGCTACCAACAGAGAGACTAGAGAGGATGAAACCTCTTGAACAACAATCTTGATGGGCCTAATGGCATATGAAAATGAATGGTGAGGGAAAGCTGCACTCAAATCAGGCTGAGGGATGGGGGGGGATGATTACAAGAACCCTTTACCCTGCAACAAAAGGCCCTGATCAAAACACACAGGAAGAAGGAACACAGAACCACTTGAAATCCAAGGAAACTCATGGTCTCACATCAGACTCTCCCCCAAGCCCCGGAAGCTAATGACAAAGGCTCCAAGGTGGAGCCAGCATCCATGCCCACTGTCTGGGATAGAGTAGTGGAGTCCAGAGGTGAGGCTGCAGAAGTAGGATAGGCATGGTTGAAAGGAAAACCCCAAAACCTCAGCAGGTCCAGCCAGCTCACCAACACCTCCATCCGGGTCCTTCAACACAAGCCGGAGCAGCTCTGATGTATCCAACCGGGCAGACAACCTAGACCACTGGAGGTAGACAAAATGAACCCGCAAAGTGATACGTACTAATTTCATTTGGAGGGTCTAATAAATAGTCACATCAGAAGTGTACACCCCTTAAGACTCATGGTCGTAAGTGTCGCCAACCCAACAGACGGCATGGCAAAGGCAGAACAAATGATTGTTACCCCATGGCACGAACGACGAGCAACCCTCAACTCTCAAAGTCGCCCAAGGTGAGAACAGGTTCAGAAGGGTATATCCATTGGCCCCACCAAACTTATGGTGGATTTCCAGGGGCCTGAAGGGTAAACTAAGTGAGACACCCTGGCATTGGGGATGCTACACCAGACCTAAACGTAAGCCAACACTGTCTGGACTACATGGCACTTCCCCCCATCCCACAGGAAGTGATGAAACATGGAGAGCCATACTGGTACTGTATAGATAGCAACAAGCATTTCTTAAGGGTATCTATTATGAAATAGATAAGAAGAAAGGAAGAGGCTCACCAGCAGCATTGTGTCTAGTGTTTACCCAAAAGGAGACTGACATCACTGCAAAAACACCTATGTGAGTGAGGAACTACCTACAAGAGTCCACTGAAAGAATTGTAAATGACAATAAATTAAATTATTGATTTCATAGACCAGAAATGTGCAGATACCACCGAGAAATTCATTTTCAGGTGAATACACCTAGTAATGTACTATCTACAAAAAAATCCATATGTACCATTTCTCATTATCACAACCTTTCCCTGTTACTAATGTACTAAAGTTATATACAGTAGTCATTATAGTTAATATACAAATTAATTAAATTTCTCAATGTGCAGCATTCCCTAGTTTCTGTACTAGCTTTATTCTCAGTTTAAGATTTATTGTTCACTGTAATTTTAAATTCATAGCATATTCTTTGTTAGCATTAAGACTTTCCTGAAACTCTGTCTGTGAATGTTCCAATTAATCACAAAATCCTGTAATAATTCAACACATTACAGGTATATCATCTAGTTTATAAATGAGCAAATAAAGTAAATGATAGTCTTTGAGTTAGGAGCAAGGTAGGGACTCCAGTAATTTATGGCATTCTTCCTTAAGGGGAATTAGAAATGAATGGTTGTTTAGGGCTACTGGTGTCAGTTGCTGACTAGATAAATATTGCAGTGCATATGCAAAAATCATTCATTTGGAACACTTCTATAGATAAAATGAGATGTATGAAAGCTGGAGTGTACTTAACACTTGGATGCTGGTTCATATCAATTGAAAATTTTCAGACAGATGAGGGCAGTAATCAGAGACAATGTATCTGATTGGAGGAGTGTTACTAGCAGAGTAGCACAGGGTTCAGTTTTTGCACCAGTAATGTTCATCATCTACATAAATGACCTACCAGAAGGAATACAGAATTATATGAACATGTTTGTGGATGATGCTAAGATATTGGGGAAGATATAGAGAGATGGAGACAATCATCATGCCCTTCAAATTGATCTAGATAAAATTAGTGCTTGGAGCATCAAGTGACAAATGGAATTCAATGTGAATAAATGCTATGTTATGGAATGTGGACTCAGAGAAAATAAACCACATACAATTTACAAATTACTGTATGTGGAAAGGAATTAAAGAACTCTATTAAGGAACGAGACCTACAGGTGGTTTTGGATAGTAAGCTGTCGCCAGAGGAACACATGAAGAACATTGTGAGAGGAGCATATGTGTTGCTTTGCAACTTCAGATTTTCTTTTAGTTACATGGATGGTGAAATACTAATGAAACTGTTCATGACTTTTATGAGATCAAAATTGGAATATGCAGCAGTTGTATGGTGCCAAATCTCAATAAGCACACAAACTAGAAAAAGTGCAACAGCATGCTACAAAATGGCTTCCGGAACTGAAAAACAAGAGTTACAATGAGAGACTGGAGCCATTAAACACTCCAAAACTAGAAGATAGAAGAAAGAGAGGCAATATTATCAACAATTACAAAATATTAACAGGAATCAACTAAATTGACAATGAGGAATTCCTGAAACCGGCAACTTCAAGAACAAGAGGACACAGATTCAAGCTAAGGACACAAAGGTGCCCCCAAAAATTTGAAAGTTTTTGTTTAGGCAACGGAGTGGTAGATGGTTGGAACAAGTTAAGTGAGAAGGTGGTGGAGGCCAAAACAGTCAGTAGTTTCAAATCGTTTTACGACAGAGTACCGGGAAGACGGGACACCACGAGCGTAGCTCTCATCCTGTAACTACACTTAGGTAATTACTTAAAGTCTTCCTTGCTGTCTCTTGACAAAGATTCATTCAAAGATTAAAGTCGATGAAGTTTCATATTTGATGTTATGGTAGTGATTTTACCTCCTTTTTGGAATTTGATCTAGCTTGCATCAACTGTCAGGCATAGCGTTAATTTCTGTACTGTGAAAACTTGTGCAATGACTTTAACTAGAAATAATCCACAATCTGCCATTGTTGCTGTCTGGAACTCAATTTTTGTGTCAAGATCATGTGAAACTCTTGTGGTTGATATTTGATGCCTGGCCCCTTTTTTCTTCCTGTACATCATTTTCTCATCACCCTGGTCTTCTCACTTGGCTTCTCACTTTCCCTTTCCAGCCTGTTTACTATATGTTTGTTACTCCATTTGCCTTTCAGTCTTAACTTGATTATGGTACAGGACAGATCAGAATGTTATTGCATTTTTAATTTTTTGTATGAATTGTGATTATTTGTTCCGGTCACATAACTGTAACTCAACCTGTTCTTATCACCAGATTATCTGTTCACCGTTCATTTAATCATAAGAACTTAACTAAGCTGACAGTATTTGATTCATCCAAACATTTGGATAATTGAGGGTTGCATTTCATGGTCCTCCAAAATTAATTTGTTAATTTCTCTCCATCTATTAATATTATGTTGTACATTATGTGGAGCTGTAGCATGTTTTGTGTGATATTTGTTATATAGTAGTTAACCCATTGTGTTAGTGCTTCTGAAAATAATTTTATGGCTGCTGTTATGCATAGCGGTAATAATGTACCAGTTGATGCTTGGATGGCTATGGATATCATTTTGCTTATGCACACTACATTTTAATAAAATTTGACCTAAAGCATGTAACTTAATTAATAAGTTCTGTTCTATACTGGAGTTTGAAACATATTGAAGTATATGCTGTATTGACAATCGTTATCATATTCGGCATAATTTCACAAATGCGAATAATTTGGATTTATTATTATTGTTTTTCTGGATGTATTACAGATGAGACCACCTACAGAGATGGTCATAATGACAACAGAAGCAGAGCAAGTTGGCATTTCTCACCATCATCTCCAATAGAACAAAAGCGTCAAAGTGTTATTCGGGAAATAATAGATACAGAGGCTACATATCTTAAGGAACTTATATTAGTTGAAGAGGTAAGAAAATTGTTGAGTTTGTTATGCTGTATAGTATTTTTTAATTTGATTGCACATAAAAGCATAGTGAATGATTGAAAGAAGTTTTTGTGTTGAGTAAAATTAAACTTATTTCTGAGCTGCTCTCTGAGCTGCTCTCTTGAGTCAGCTTCCTATATGGTTCCAGACACACTCCACCCACCAGGTTTAAATGACCTGCCCACCCACCGTGATTTCTAACATTCCAAATAGTGTGTTGTGGTGGGTCTTCGCCCTCCCCCCCTTCCCACAGGGCACTACTGAACACCCTGGGAGCACCTCAGTCCTCTATGGACTTGGGTTCCTTCCCTAAACTCGGCCTTACACCTGTAGCGAATGAAGTAAACTTGACCCCCAAAGCTTCCTTATACAGTTGAGAGGCGGGATCAAAGAGCCAGAGCTCAATCCCCGCAAGCACAACTAGGTGAGTACAGTATATATCGTGTTGGTGGACACGGAAACTCGGGTCTCTCAACCGAGCTTGCCTACTGGTAAAATCACTCCAACTTCCTTTATATTATACAGTATATATATATATTTAGCAGGTGGCCAACTGAGCAACTGTCACACAAGCTCAGTACACTTTTCTCAGTGGTAATTCATACATTCCCAGTATATTAGGTTATGCAAGATTATGGTGTGCAACATTTCAAGAATTGCTTTAACCACAAAGAGAATGGGGAGGTAAATCAAACACACTGGTAAAAGTCATATGGGATTTACTGAAAAATATCTACACAGGTAAATATACTTCCGCCGCTCTGGTAGAAATATGGCAACACTCAAGTAAATCACTCGGCAATTCTCAAACCACCACCAACCAAAACTGTCGATAAATGTCACTGAGGCACTAGTTTATCTTCTTACACATATACAGAAATACTGTAATCCTGATCCACACATCACGTTATGCACTATATGAATGATATGCCTTCTGAATGTGATCAACGAATGTTCATACATAAATATATAAATATATAACCATACTCAATTTATATACATATATATTATGGAAAATCTCCTGACCATAAATCAGTATTAATACTTAGGTGAGAATCTCCTCCTAACTCGAGGGACAATGGGGAGGGAAAGATTATCTACCTTTACATTCCGCTACAAATCAGCATGAAGTCCAGGTTGCGATGACAGACAGGGTCCAGTTTCTCGCAATTCTGCTCAGCCATGCCAGGTAGTGGGTTCGTTGTGCCATATGTCCACATTGATCCGCAGGCTGGCCTGTCATCTTCTGGTTCCTGGTGTTCTCTTTCATCAGCAAAGTAGTTTTTCAGTTGCTTCCCTGGAGATACAAGCCTTCCTCGTCCTTGGTATTGGTTACTAGTGCTGAGTAAATCCCTCCTGAGGCCTTAGTGCCTCCCAGACTAGCGAGCTCTCTAGCGCACCTCCGCTCGCTGACGTCACTGGAGAGTCTCTGGTGCCACTTCCTGCCTTGGGTCGCTGATGACCCCCTGATCTACTATGTCACGCCCTTGGCGCCATGCCATTGGTCAATGATGCCACACACCAGAGACTGACCAATCAACAGATGGCTGGCATGGCTCTCGTAGTGCAATGCATTGTGGCTTCCTCCAGTGGGAAAGCTCACCTCCCACTGCCATATTTTCCTGGTAGAAAGGTCTAAAGCCATTCACAAAATCATAATTTGTTGCCAGCTGTCAACTCGGGCTTCTCCTCTAATGTACCCAAACTCTTGCTTATGCCTCAAAGTATATACAAATGTGGGAAGTATGACTCTTACAGCTGGAATTGGGGAAATACAGGCCTGGGATCCGTCACAGTGGTCACATGGTTGGGGAAGGAAGATAGTGAAGAATCTCACTTGAGCCACTACCAACAGACCAACTCACTATCATTTATCAAATGATATCAAAGGCTTAGGAGTAATTACTTTGGAAGACCTTACTGTTAAAGAACACAACAAAATTGCTGTCACAGCTGCAAGAAAAATGACAGGTTGGATAACAAGAACCTTCCAAACATGAGATACCATGCCAATGATGATACTTTTTTAGGCATTAGTACTCTGTAGATTGGAATATTGTTGCATACTAACATTCCCATTCAAAGCTAGAGAAATTGCTGACCTGGAAAGTGTGCAAAGATCCTTTACCGCTTGAATCCACACGATAAAACATTTAAATTATTTTGACCCTCTAAAAATTGTAAATCTCTATTTCCTAGAGTGCATGCAAGGAAAATATTAGAAGGACTGGTTCCAAATCTGCACACTTGGTGACGTGACCACCAGGCACAAACATCAGTATAGTACTGGACTGTGAGCAGCCCGGGTGACCCAGGCCGGCTCCTTCCTCCGCCCCAGGTGTGGGGTTGGGGGGCAAACTAGTGGGGGGCTAGTTTTACTAAATTTTGTTTTCATTGTTGTGGAGTTCTTTTGGCAATTTTGAAGCTGCAGTTTCATTTTAACAATGCAGTAGTCCATTTTTATTTGCCTATCTTTCTGGGTGCCTCCCTTGGATGGTGGCAAAGATGATGAACTTTAAATGTAAAGTGTTTATAAGCTATCACTCTCTGCGCCTCTGAGAGGGCCAGGTTCTGGCTCGTGGTCCCCATTAGGCCAATTGAACTCCGCAACTGTTGACACCTAGTAGTATGGCACTTATTAAGCATGATTGCTTCAGGGAACCTCTGCGGCTCACCCAGAAACTGGCATTTCATTACATTCGATGTTGGTTTTTCTATGGGAGCCCTGTCGGCTCCCTGGAGTTATTGCTGCTTGGTTGGTCTGGCCAGGGTTGCAGCGTGTTTTGTGTTCGGTTGCAACTTTGCGCCGGTACCTGTGCACTTTGGGTTGGTCCAATGTCCCTCATTCCCTGTTCCAGAGCTCAGGTCTCTCTGGTCGTCTGCATGGTTTTCAGGTCAAGTCAGCCTGCGGTTTACCCTCGTGCCCTTGAAGTTCAAAGGTTTACGGTTTTCACTGCTGTTTGTGGGAACGTGTCTTGGGCTGACATTCGGGCACTGGGGTTTTGAAGGTCAGACAGGGTCCTGGCTGCCCATTCTCTTGTGAACGTTCCGGGGCCCTCAGCAATCTTGGATGGCCTTAGATCTGTGGTTGCAGCCAGTTGTCTTATCTTCATCATGAGTCGTGCGGTGTGGCTGCCTCCCGGGTATGTCCCTATTTTACTGCTCTTTGGGTATCTAGCTTCAGGAAGCCTCTGGGATTCACCCAGAAAATGCAGTTTCATTATAGTCAATGCTTGTTTTCTGTGGGAAGACCTATCGGCTCCCTGGAGCTAGCTACCCAAAGAGCAGTAAAATATAACTTTGACTTATGAGGAAGATGAGACAACTGGCTGCAACCGCCGACCGAAGGCCATACAAGACTGCCAAGGGCCCGGAACATTCACAAGAGAACAGGCAGCCAGGACCCTGTCCGACCAACAAAAGCCCCGTACCCGAATGTCAGCCCAAGACACGTTCCCACAAACAGCAGCCACAGCCGCAAACCTCCAAACATCAAGGGTACTAGGGCAGACCTCAGGCTGGCTTGACCTGAAAACTCTGCGGATGACCGAAGACCCCCAAACTCTGGAACAAGGAATGAAGGACATCAGGAGAACCCAAAATGTGGCCGTGGACACAGAACACAAGGCGAGCAGGTAACGGTGCAAAGTTGTAACCGGACACAAAACACGATGCAACCCCCTCGGCCTGACCAACCAAGCAGCAATAACTCCCGGGAGCCTCCGAGACTCACCCAGAAAATGGCATTTCATTACATTCAATGCTGGTTTTATCTCTTAATCATTTACATTTGTATTACTTTTGCTAGCCTCTTTTAAACTTCAAGATTTTGTTTAACTGCTCTGCTTCTTCAAATAAAAAAAATTATCTTTATTTAGTCTTTTATATTTTGCATATTCCTATATTCCTTTGTTTTGTTACTTTGAAGACAATAAACAAAAATTATAAAGTTGTTTGCAAAATATGGATTACAAATCTTAAATATAAATAGTTTCATACATTAAATGTTTATTAATATTGGATTAAATTGAGGTCTCATTCCTGTTACAGGCTTTTATCAAGCCCATGCGTGCTACTGGCATCATTAGTGAGAAAGAACTTGACCTGTTATTTGTGAACTGGAACGAGCTGATCCTGGTTAATTCATATTTCAATAAGTAAGTATGCTGTGCAGTTTTCTAATGCATGTGTGATTAAAACAGTTATTGAGGTATATTTATCTTGTGTGATTATGTCCATATGTGCATTGGTTTGTCTTCACAATACAAGTTCCAAAAATGGTTGTGTAATTTCAAAGACCAGAGGTCAGATCTGGAATAACGTTGTGCTAAGCACTTGCACGTTTATGATTTTACATAAAGTATTAAGTATTTTTAGTTTTATTTTAGCTTTTGACATAATCATATTTTCAATATTCCCAAATACAGATTATCGTGAATTAAAAACCTAATAATTTACTTTTGCCTTCATTTAATATATCTATTCATCATTTTCAGTGGCTCAAGGCTGCCTGCATAACGTTGCAATAACCATCCACATCCTCAGCCTACGGCTTAAATTGGATAGTATTGAGAATAACACCCTCATCTGGGACCAGTATTCCCCTCTCCCACCTTTCACCTTCCCTACCTCCTGCACTCACCTCCTCCAAAACACACACCACAACTCCCCTTGGGTCTTCCTTAATTTAATCCTGGCCGTACAGGCATGCCATCCCACACCACATACATACTCAGGACATACATTACATCCAACAATCCTCCTAAATTACTAACCTTTTATTCAGGCTCTCAATCCATCCTGACAATCATATTTTGCCACTGAAACAGCTAAGCAGCTTCTCTAGCTTCATGTAGTATATGTTGCTTCCTAAATTTAGAGGAGGAGAAGCTAGGCTATTGTATCCTGAGAGAGCCTCAGCTGTTACTAGAAATCATAAATTAGAAGTTTCTCCTATGAAGCAGCATGTATGACAAGTTTTAACCTTCCATACTAATTAGCCCAACTGTATCAAAAGTCACCTAGATGTGCAGTAACATAGGGGGCATGTTTGCCCACCTCTACCCTGGGACCATGTCAACAAAGGTTCAGAATCACTTCACATACATAAACGTGTGTGATTCCCAGCAACGATACTGAATATAGCATATGAGCAAATCAAATTACTGTACATTCTAGGATGTCTTTGGGGTCACCTCAAGAGCTACTCATTTAATCCTCAACAGTGACTTGCCCAACTTCTCACAGTGTTCAAAAGAGAACTTGACAAGCACCTTCAAAGGAATCCTGATCATCTAGGCTGTGACTCATGTCAGGCTATGAGCAGCTGCATCAAACAGCCTAGTTGATCAGACCTCCAACCAAGAGGGCTGGTCAGAGACCGCACAGCGGGGGATGTTGATCCTCGGACAGGTAAACGACAGGTACCTCAACTGCTTGCCCAAGACATCATCATCAAGCTCAAGGATAACTTCCTAACCCTAAACCCCCATTCATATTCTATTCATTTCTGCACATGAGCAAGATGACATCTTTCTCTTTGATTGAGAGGCAGGACCAAAAAGCCAAAGCTCAACCCCTGCAAACACAACTAGGTGAGTACATGACTCAGGAAATCCATGTACAGGATGATGACCTCATGTTCATCCCAATCAATATGACTGATAATGGGCCAGATGTCTGCAGATTTTTAAACCTCGCATTTGAATCAGATGCACTAGCAAACCTAGCACAGACTAAGGGCATTTTAGTCTTTGGTGTTAATACTGCCCAAATGAAATAACTACGTCCCGATATTGATACACTAACTACACACCCCACTTTAACAGCAGTAACAGTAAAACAACAAAACCAAAGTGGATGGGTCCTTAAGCTTTACATACTGATTCAGCAGCCACCTGCTTCTCCATCCATTTCCAGCTGTTCTGGCTCTCATACCTTTCTCTTCCTGCTCCACCTTGCCCCACCTTCCATCCTATTCCTGCCCCCTCACCTTGCCCCACCTTCCAAATTCCTCTTCCCTTCCCTCTTCCTTTTTTCCTCCATCCCCTTCCCTCGCCTCATCTCCTATCCTCCCTTCCCACTGTGCCCCACCTCCTATCCCTTTCCCTTCCCACTGTGCCCCACCTCTGTCCCTTTCCCTCCCCCCACCTTGCCCCACCTCCATCCTTTTCCTTCCAATCTTGCCCCACCTCGGTCCCTTTCTCTTTTTCCCCTTGCCCCATCTTTCATCCCTTTCTATTCCCTACCTCAGTCCCTTTCTCTTTTTCCCCCTTATCCTATTTTCCATCCCATTTGCTTCCCCACCTCTGTCCCTTTTCCCTCCCCCAATCTGCCATCCCTTACCCTCCCTCACCCACCTTCCCAAAACCTTCAATCATAACAACTTCCAAAAGATAGTAGCTTTAGATGATGTATGTTATGCTGCTAGGATTAACTAATGATTAGAACTACCACTATTAAAGTATCAAGCTGCCTTTTCTATTTCATTAGTGTTACATTTAATTACTGTATAGTATATTGTTAGTTGTGCATTCAGTTTATTCTGCAGTTTCTGCAAAGAAACTTCAGTAGCTCCCTGAGCTTAAGTACTGATATTGCCAGGCCTGAGGCAAATGCTCCAGGTCTCTGAGACTCACCCTTGTCTATCTATCGGTGGCAAGGACCAGAATCTGGCTCTCTTATGATAAAAGGGGGAGCCTGGGGATCGGTGACCTACTCAAAACTGTGAAATAACCCATCGGAAAAGATAGGCACACCAAAACTAGTGACTGCTTGAAGACCTTTAGGTAAACAAGGTGAACAATCATTGCCAAAGGACAAACTACCATAAAATTGATGCACTGACCACCATCTCAAATGCAATCCTGACAGCTGCCCACATGGTTTGGTTTGGTGTTGGGCTTAATGCCTATCAACCACAACATGGTTAATAGAGCCACAACAATAGTTTTCTAGCTGACCAACAAAAAAACTTTAGTCTTGAACATAGTTCAGAAGCCCTTCTCTGCTTTGGTTACATTTTTGGGTCATGGTCCATGACTGATGACTGGGCTCACAGAATTTGGCTTGTTAACTGACTGTTCCTTGGCCACACCGGGCCTGTGTGGTACTTAAGCATTTGGCAAGTTATTACTCCTTTTCCCCATGCCCTGCACTCCTGCTGGCATTTGCACTAGGTCAGCTATTACATCTTTTCTGTTCCTACTAATCCCTTGTTTTTCCTCTCTGAAAAGCTGCTTTGCTCTGATGAGGGACTATTAGGAGTAAGCTCAAGGAGTTACTGAGGAAGACTTCCCAGAAATCATACTTTGAATGTAATAGAATTCCCTTTAATGGCGGGCCTTTCAGTAGCTACCCATTCCTGCCCTGTTCCATTTTTTCCCTTGGGAATTTTGGGGTTTTGTATTGTCAGTTTATGAAGGAAGTGAGGAGCTGGCCAGGCCCTGAGTAACCATGGCCACCATCTGGTGGCAGTTGGGCTCATTAGTGTTATAGTAATTTGTGCATGGCAGCAATTGTTTGACCCAAAGTTCATATATCACTAAAAGCAGTTGCTTCTTGTGCTGTGCCAATTCTTTTTGTAAGTTTATTTTTGGTTTTGGGTAGTTTTCCGATCCCCAGGTTCCCTAAACCAGTAGGACAGGGTGGATCTCAAGAGACCTGGTACAATTTCCTAAGACTAATCAAAGGCCCTCCAGAATAGGGCATTTCATTATACAGTTGTAACACTTGATTTATTAGTAAAGGCCTCTGTTTACTAAAAGAAAGTGGCTGTTTGGAGAGATGTATAATGATCATTCTTTTAATATTTGATTTCATGCTCTTTAGCATTATCTGTTATATTGTTATCAATAATTAATTTATCTCTAAGCCTATGTTTGGGAATCTTTTTTTTTCCAGAGCCTGCATTCTTCAAACTGATTTTAAGGAATGAATTCTACATGTGGGAGGGCCTTCTCTATTAACGATTTGGTGAAGTCATAAGAATGCTTACATTGCACTGACCTCTTACCCAGGATAGTTAAATAATGTGATTTTATCCTATGGAATTGATTTCCCAACAAAGTATAAACAAAAATAATAATAAAAAGAATTATATTACTCCTACATAGCCTGTATAAGACAAGGTTATGGTTATCTTGGTTAGCTTTAATAGGATTTCTTAGCCTACTTGGTTTTGCTTATTGGTCTGTAGAATAGATCTGAATGCTCATTAATATTTGTTGTTTATTTTTAATATCTGCTAAATCTTAGATTTTACTGGATTTGAGAATACAGTAGTGCTGAAAATAATGCTATTGGTACTCTCAGCTGTTTAAATTAGCATGCTTTGCTTGTACATTTGCATTGTTTTAAAAATTTACTGAATAAAGAATTTTGACACTACACAGTATGGAACAGGAGCAATGGTAGTGACAATCAGCTTTGTCATCATGACTTCTAGCAATTATTTTGTGTTTCTGACACATGCTGAGCTTAACCATTCAGTTTCTTCCTCTGGAAATATCCAGCTCTTCCCAGGACTTTGCCAAATTCACGGCTGATCATTTCATCCTCCTCATCCCTGACATAGTAAGGGATGAATTGGAGAAGGGAGGCACTGTAGACTTCTCAATTCTGCCCAAAATGCTTGTCAGAAGGCTCACTCAACTATTGCATGTATTCTGAAAATACATGTTCTAACCAGTTTTTTCTTCAAAGAAACTACCAAGTATTGATCTGCTAAAATGCTATGCTAGCCTGACATCAGATGTTACCACCTGTGCTGTCAACAGAGGTGTCTGAACACTCCACATCACTTTCAAGCTTTACCTGTAGCCAGATTTTCCAATCAATGAGAAATCAGTGTCTAAATTCACTTTCCTTGTTCGTCTCTTGCACAGTCATCTTGTGCTTTCAGTGGCCAATGTTTCGGTATGTTTACACACACTTTTAATTTTTTTTTTCGAAAGTTTACTAACTGGCAATTGAGATCTTCTCAATCAACTGAGATCTGATTTGAGCACAGTCTTCTCTGTGCTGGCTCAGTAGTACTTTCAGGTGGGTTTTCTTGTCATGATTGATCCTTGACCTCTCACTGTTCATTGAAAGTTTTTATCAGATCATGGTGATTAGTGCTGCACATGGTTTCTAAGTGCACTTTCATTAAGCAATC